ACAGTGGTACACACTAATAAAAAGACCTGGTTTATGAGAAAGAAACTGATTTATTCTTTATCTCTAAGCCATGGACATTACTTGTCGGAAAAAAATAAATCAGGAAAAAGGGCAGGAAATGAAGTTTGATATTAAATTATGCTGTTAACCATCTTCTAACATCAAAAATGGATTAGGAATCAGATCCCATGTACAGCCACAGTGATTTCTAGATGTCAATTATTTCGTTGTTGGTTTATGAAGCAGTACTCCAACCCTCACCTCTCTCAGTGGTCACTTTAAGAGGCAGGATGTATTTGTTCGTCATGGGTGGTGAAGAACTGACAGATCACTCCTTAGATCTCATAGTCTCTGGCATTTTAGTTAACAGTCACATTACAGAAGATGCTGGTGTGGGGGTTTTCTCTTTTGCCTTATATGCTCATACATTCTGGGTAATTTAATAAGATGGAGAAATCCGTTATATTTTCCTCACTTCTGGTTCCAGAAATCTGGGTTATTTGTATGCCTCTTGGAAGAAAGCAAAGCCCTTCTAATACTCTCTACTGAGTTTCTTTCTCAGGTAAAGCCCTTATTGCATTTTCTTCCCTCAAACATTTCCATCACTTCCCAGTGCTTAGCTTTGCATTTAGGATCCTCCAAGAAGATACATATGCCAGATTCTTACCCTTTGCCTTCCTTGCCCAAATGGGAGATGTATACAATATGCATACAAATATACACACCTAACAAAAACAGACCACTTGCTGCGCTTCACCCACTTCTGGGTCAGCGGGGATTTTGTCCCTTAATATGAAAAGCTTTGTCTTCAACCCTTAGTTACTGGACACCAGTCTTCCTGGTACTCCTCAGGGCCACTGCAATCTACAGTCAACACGATGCTTTGCTTGATGCTCTCAACTGTTCAGTACTTCTCACCACACTGCTTTAAGTTCTCATTATCTAAATATTTTTTCATGGCCTCTAAGAAGTTACAAATTTTTTTGAGGACAGGAGGGTGATTTCTTGTTCACATTGCCTAATTCCAAGCTGAATGCCTGTCAAACAAGATACTCGATACTGAATAAAAATGTACAGATCCTGGCTTTCTTATCTACTCTACCCCAATTAACTCATTAGATTAAAAAAAAAACACACACATTCAGGAAATCATTTTATAAAATGAGAAATTGGAATGAAGAGATAAAGCAACAAATCGGTGGTAAAATACATTTTAGGAGTTATATAATAATAATAATGGTAACTTCACCTTGGCAAAGATAATGGAAATGGATTTTGAATTACACTGTTTTTGAGACAAGTCTTTGGACTTCTTTAATAAAAAATGTTCTTCTGTGGAGCCCATTTCTCAATATGCTTAAATATTAACCCGTTATTCTACAAGGCCAGTAGAATAGGATATTTAGCGATGAATGGGGCTCTTTGAAAAATAATGTACAAAGTGGGGGGATGTTATCACAACTGAACACTTCCTGCCCTGATGATATTCATCACTAACCCTCAAATCACCATGTCTAAGTTAATAAGACTGGTTCACTGTGAGAGGGTATTTTGGGGTGAATTTTGTCCTGCCATAAGATATGTTCAAGCCCTAATGCCAGCACCTCAGAACTGGACATAATTTGAAAATAAGATATTTGCAGGTGCACTTAATATGAGGTTACTAGTGTGGGCCCTGATACAATGTGACTGATATCCTTATAAAAAGGGGAAAACTGGACAAAGAGACAGATCCCCAGAATGAAGGCTATGTGAAGGGGTGCAGGGAAACATCGTGTGAATGTGAAAGCAGAGACTGGGATGATGGGCCAGTAAGTCAAAGAAAGCCCATGCTGGCTGGAAAAGCAACACAAACAGGCACAAATTTCCCTTGGGAGGTACCAACCCTGCTGTCATCTTGATCTTGGACTTCTAGCCCTGACAACTGAGGGACAAAAGGGTTCTGTTTTAGCCTCCCAACCTGTGATACTCTGTATGGCAGGGTTAAGCAACTAACAGAGTCGGTACAGCTACACCCAAGAATCCACAATGGCAGACAGAGCCACACCCCCTTTTTTTTTGGTGTATGAACTTATTTATTCCTCTATTGAGGGCATTTAGATTGTTTACAAGTTTTATTATAAAATAATATAATAGCTTATTTTTTCATCATTTTGTGCCTTCTTCCATCTTATTTGCAATCTCCATGGGTTTCCCATCAACAAATCACCTGTGTGCCATCACCATAGTCCAGTGCATTTCCCTCCCCCCACCGTTTTTGATCCCATTCCCCACTCCACCCCCATAAAATGTCTCTGGTATATAGTTGCTCATTATTATTTTTATTTTCTCCCTGAAAGGGCCCTTTTACTCCTAGTGGGAGTGAGGCCATGCATTTTATGTAGGCAGCCTCAAATCCTTTATGGGGAAAGTTTGGATTTAAATTGCAACCTATTAGATGCCTCTGAAAGGTAAGATCTAAGCAATAATGTAAGAGTTGCCTGGGGAAGGCCATGCCTAATGGGAATGAGCCACACTGAGTCACGGCAAAGGCCAGCCAGGCCAGGGGGTCAGAGAACTGTGCACCGGCTGGCCACAGACAAATCTTCTTTAATGTGGACAAATATCCCTCCTTTTCTAAAACTACTTCGATGATATACTCTGAGAAGGGATTTGAGGTTTTTCTCCAATTCCCTTCATGGATTTAATGGACATGTAAACTATCCTACATATTTACCTGTTGCTTCATTTAAAGTTGGCTCAAGGCGTATTGTTTCTAGAAAATGCTCTAAAATTTTTTCAGGTGTTCCTGACATCACAGTATACCTAGATAAGAAAGTAAAAACACTGTTAGTTTTTCATGCATGGAAAATTCTTTCATAAAAAACTTTTCACCATCTATGTTTTCTGTTTTCTTCTTTATCCCAGTGAGCCACATCCGCTTAAGTTGCGGCCATATTCTCCTTATGGGGAGAGAGACCATGTGACTTCACATAGGAAGATAAGGGAAAAACCATAAATTGAAGTAGTTACTAAAACATTATTCTTTCCCCCCCTACATGAAACTAAAGTAAACGTCTTGGAGAGTAATTCTAGCAGGCTGGGAATAGAAACTTTCGCCTTTTTCTGAAGGAATGGAAAGAACATGTAAAGCCTGGGGCAGTTCAGGTCAGACAGGGGGAGCTGGTGAGGGGAAGTGACAGTAAAGGAGGTTATCCATATATGGGTTACTTGTAGCAAAACCTCAATCCCACACTGGATTCCCCTGCCAATTTCTGGAATGCTCTGTCTTTCCCAACTGTACACTGGAATGTGCTTTGGAAATACAGCTAATAATAAAAATAGAGAAAAGAAAAGAAAACCTTAAACAAACCAAACCTATAGCATCTGATTAGGAAATAAAAAAGAAAAACAGTAGAAATTCATATAATTTACTTCAATGTTAATTGACTATTTCCTGAACTACCTTACTCTTTGACAGCACTGACCCAATAAACTGGATGAGCAGCTGCATCTGGGCACATTAATAAGGTTTGGAGAGGGTGTTGCTAGCTGTCAGGTTTTACTGTGCAACTATGTGGGGAAACTGAATGATGTCATCATATTCATTCCCACCTGTGAAATATGCTCTCATCCCACAGGTGGAGAAAATGCTCAGGAAAGTGGAGCGTCAGAGTCGGTCAGCTGGAGATCTCTGCAGTGAGCTGCAGGATTCATGAACCAGCTGTGCTGCTCAGCCCGGAAGCCAGAGGCTCCTGGCAGAGGCCGCAGCGGCAGCGGGAGCTCATTCTGGACATTAAGTGTGCTGTGCAATCAAAGCCTCTCTGAGGAGAGCTGGCCTGTTGTTTCTGAAAACAAGTTTTATTTAAATAAGCGTGTAAATACATTAAGGAAAGGTGACTTGGCATGTCACTTGGCACTGGCAGCTATTGCTAGTAAGCTGCAAGCTCTTTAGCTGTGGCCATGGGCAGAAATACCGGTTAGTCAAAAGTTTAACTCTTATAAAAAGGTCAGTTTCCTATTCCAGAGGTCGTGGTTTGGACATGCCTTAGCTCTAGTATTACATCTGGTCAAAATGAAAGGCTTGAGTGGCAAGCCATATCCTATTACCTTGCTGGAGAGAAAGAGGCCTGTACCCTGGCCTGGTCAACCACAGTCCCGGGGGGAGCTTTCTTTTGCTACAAAGGCGCCCTCTAGTGACACAGCTGCCAGGGGCTGCCTTAGTCCACCCCCTCCCTCTTCTCAGTCCCACAGAATGCTGTTCAGGTGGGATCTGTTAGGATGGAGATTTCTGAAGAAGTCAGTTCAGAGAAGCAGTCCAGGGGACTCTTAAGAGGCAGTCCAAGGTAATTTTGCCAGAACAAACGGCTGGAGCCTTGTGCTCTGGGGTCTAAAACAGCACCCAACTGCATTGTTTCAGGTAAGGCACAGCCAGGGGCCTGCAGCTTGACCCATCTAAGTGAGGGACTTGAGACCAGACAGCATGGCTTTTTTTTTTTTTTTTTCAGTTTATTATGAGGAAACTATTCTAGACTAAGTCAAAAGAAAAACCCAATGGGTTACATTATCCAAGCTGTGAAAAAAAGTCTGTTTCTAGCATCAAGTTTGGAATTAAGTATTCTTTTACTTATACTTAAAACAAAAGCTGAAATGGGGGAGGAGGGTCCGACAGAGACCATCTTTCTAGGCAGGATGGAGCTGAGTAGTAGGGTGTTTGATAAGGAAAAGCAACAGTATAAAACAGGAATGGTCATTGCGAATACGCTCTTTCTTATTAAACCACATAATCACGGAGCAGAGGCTATCTGAAACAGTTAAAAATTTGAGAGCTCCATATAGTTTACCCATCATCAGAAATACTGTGGGGCTGCTTATGTTTTGATGTCACACTCAAGAGCTGAATGGCTCAGACTGACTCATGCAGTTTTGAAAGTTTAAAATGTACACATAAACTGTTCTGGATTTCTCAGGGGAAAAGTCAGAAAAATATCAATACCAGCATAGTGACCCACTTTGAGCTCAAAATGGACAATTTCTGAGAAAATGGACAATTTCTGAAGAAATGGAAGTCCTAAAATTTCCCAAATTTGAGCCCTCCATAATCATTGCCATGTTGTCGAAGCTGTCCTGCCCATCAGCTTTAAATTCACATACACACGTCCCTCCCTCCCCCCACCATCCCCACTCTTCCCTCTATAACTCCTATCCTTCCACCCCCAACTTTTGCTCTGATTTGGGAAAACTTAACATGAAAAATAATCCCTTAGGAGAGTGTCTTTTTACTCTTTGGGGACTGTTTTTGTGTGGTGCAGCATTTTGTACCCATTAATAATTCTGTACACTGCTGTGAACATTTATGTTTTGGATTATATAAAGAAATGGGTACGTATAACAGGACACAAATAAGGAGATAAAATGGAAATCATATCCAGTCCTAAAATAATTTAATACATATGGCTTCTCCTCTGTTTCTTCTATTTTGATTTCTTATCATAAAAGGACCATACCTGGAGGCTCTCTGAATGAAGACATAACAAGCAAATACTTTTGCCCAACGCTACACACAGGTAAAAGGACTTTGGGTTGAATGTTTCGAAGTTAAGGAGAATTTTTAAGGCTTCCATTTTGGGTACCAATTATTTTGGATAAATTATTTAAAATGCAGATTATCGCTATTAATATAGAATATAGAAACTAGTTGGGGGTATCTCCAACTTCCAATTGTGTGGTACAACATTTTGTACCCATTAATATGGGTACCACACACAAAATGTTCTCATTCTTCTCCACTGGGGGCTGGAAGGACAACTATTAAAAACACTTGAGCAAGAACATTTCAAGAATGGAAAACAGTGAAACAAACAAACAAAAGAATTCAGGATGGTCAATTAAAGGGTTTGTAAATGAAAGCAGAGTTCTGTATATAGTTTATTTCACATCAACCCTTTTCAAATATGCTGGTTTGCAAGGTTTACTGGAGAGTGTTGTGGATACACTAAATATACACTACTGTATATTTTTTTAAGATTTATTTATTTATTCATACAGAACTGGGGTACAGGCCAGAGATGCGGAGGGTGAGAGGATTCACCAGGGACAGAGTGGGGAGCAGAACAGGCAGATCGACAAAGTACACTGCTGAGGGGAGCAGCGGGCGGGTCAGGAGAGGTCTGATGCTCCATGTGGTCACCTCTGGGGCAGGCGGGAATCGAACTCATGCGGAAGTGGCTTAAGCTTCTTAGTGCTGTGCTTTAACCCGCTGCACCACCAGGGAGGGCCCTACACACTACTGTATTTTGCCAGAGCAGGTTTCCAGAAGTAGCATAGGTTGAGAAGTTGGTCAAGCTGAATTTTAATGTCAGCTCTGCCATCATAACTTTGCATCCTTGGACAAGTACAACTAACTTCTCTGAGCCTTAATTTCTCCCTCTGTTCAAAGGGGCTGTAGTGGAGATCAGAAAAGTATGCAAAAATACTACAGCTATTTAGTAATATATTTCTTTCCACTTTCACTGATAATGTGTTGATTCATCCAAATGAAAATATCTAAATCTTAAGCTTTTAAGTTTCAACAATAAAAATTCACCGGTTATGTTAAGGGTAACAATTAACAGAAACTGTTTACATGGCAAACAAAAATAATTAGGGGTGCACTCTTTTTCAACATATTGCTTGTGGCATTTTGTTAGCTACACTACTGGTGTTATTATTCTAAGATTGAACATTGATTTTTAAACACTGTAATTTTCTATGATTTCTTCGAGTTACATCTACTAATTCCTTAATATGCAAATATTGGTACAGCTGATGAAAGAGACTTATGGAGGAAGTTTCAGTGAAAGATGCAGATATCTTGAACAAGACTCAACAGGGGACCTGAGAAATGTGAAGGGAACACTACTGACAGTAGCAGAAACATGTGAATAAAGCCAAGTGGATGCGTCCAGACTGCAATCATTAGGCTGATTTATATTTGAAATCCATGTCTCCAACAATGATGCATATTATGATAAAAGGATGAAAACATTTCTTGAGAAATCCTACACCTGACACTCAGATATCATGGGTTTTCATCACCTACGGCCGAAAATCACCTCTGAGCTGCCTGATATTCCTTTTCTCATTGTCTCCCCAATGCTTTCCTTTTCAAAGCTACTACAGTTGAACACTGTACAGAGAGCATTTTTTGAGTAGGGAATAGTCCCCCCAGAATTACTCCAGGCAGCACCAAGCTCAACACAGTGCCAGAAATGGATACATTACACACCACAAGATGTATGATTAGTCAATAGAGAGAAAAAAAAAGTCACACACACTGCTGTCTTCCACAAAAAGGGAGAACATGCTATTGTAGAAATGATGATACCATGTGAAAAGGTCAATCATAGTCTGGCAATTGCAGCGCTGAATGCAAACCTACTTTTGCTGAGGCTGTGAGTTTCCTTGATTAGAAGCCCTGTTCCCTGCTGGGACCTTCTCCAGCACCAAGACATCTTGGTCATGTTCTTTCAGTCTGACTGTATTCGCCTCAACGTCCTGCAAATACAAATTACACCACATACAGATGCTGCAGTTTTCTCAGACAATGAAAAAAATTTCAAATGCTTCAGAAACTCATTTAGTGCTTGTGATGCTAATTGTTGCGTCTACAAATTAAGTCATTTTCAAAGTCAAGGGCTGGAACAGTCAGAGATAGGACCAGATGAGGTTTGAGACAGGCAGTTTTAAAGCTGCCTTTACCCCAGATTCAGAAAAGCCTCAGAGTAGAGAGAGAGCAGTTTGGTTGTGTTCTGGGAAATCTTTGGGAACAGGCAGGATAGAAGGAAGGTAGGGAAGCAAAGGCATTTATTCTTCATAAAAATTTGTGGCAATGGAACTAAGCTTCAGCAAGGTTCTTTTCATTCTGATTTTTCTCTGAGGGTACTTAGTTTCCTTTGGAGGGATACTTTTTCTTGCTAATCAAAAGACTTGGTTTGTTAAAAAAAGAATCAGTTTGAAATGTGTCAAGATACTTTCCAGTTACTTTGAATGACATTTACCACTAAACTTCAGTATCATTTAAAATATTACTATGCCCTATTCTAGATAAGAATCATGTGGTTCTTTTCCATGTGATATTTTTTTCTATATTACTCAGTGGTATCATTTTGTATTTAACTTGCTTTGCATTAATACATTCCTAGGACAAACTTTGTCATCAGAAATTTTGCTACCAAATTCAGATGCTTAAGGTTGTGTAGGGATAGCTGTCCACCCATAAAGAATGGAGAACAACACAGCAAGTCATCATTAAATAATGCCAAAAAATAGCAGAAAGCACCAAAACTGCATTTCTGGTGCCAGAGAAGTCTAGAGAAAGAGCGAAGGCTAGGGCTGAGGGCAGAGAAGGTAGTCTGCTCTGTGAATCAGTCAGGAAGGGAAAAGTTATCCTAAGGGGAACACTCTCCCTGGGTGAGCTCAGGCTAGGACGATATGGACTATGAGTCACCTGATGGGACCAGGAGCCAGGGGTGGTGGGACTCTGACATCACCCCAAGCAGCCCGCAATTAGGTCTCAACCAGTCAAAGCTGGGTCATTTCTCCCAAAGAGGCCAGAATCTGCTCAGTGGGGAATGACCAGGGACCATCTCTTTAAACACCCCTGACTCTTACAAACACCTTAACAACTGTAGATTAGGCCCATCTGTAGAACCAACTTGCTTGCAACTTCATGGCTCCCTTTACTACCCGAATTATTCTTTACCTGTGCACCAACATCTGAAGTGTCTTTAGTGTACATCAACCCGATACAAAACACTTGAAATGAAAATGTTTGGTTGGAACAGCACAACTGACATTTATTTCCCCTTAATACATAATCACTTCATCAAGTGAGTGTGTGTGATGATAGAGAAAGATTCAGTATGGGAGTGAAGTAGAGATTAGGAAGGTCTAGGATAAAACAAGACATGGATCAGAGGGGCCACTCCTGTGTTGAGAGTGAGGGGGTTTGAGGGCGCGGGGCAGGACATTAAAGGTGAGCCTAAGATGGTGAAAGAGAAACATCTCAAACTTTGATGTTTTACCAAGGCAATTTCTATTTGTCAATTCCCACGGACCAGTTCAGGTGTGTGCAGTTACCTGGGGCAGCCCAGCAGGCCACATTTGCAACTTTACTGCAACTTCAGCACATGGACCATCCCCGTTTTTTAACCAAAGCTCTTTGCCCGTCGAGCATTCATTAACCACAGCACTGCTCAAATAACACTGCACTCCAATCTTTGCCTACTTGGCAAAGGAAAAATGGGAAGCCCCTCAGCCACACTGCCTGGGACTCACCCTCAGGATCCGGTTGAAGTCCTCCTTGTCTACTCTTAAGAAATGGCAATTATCTTCTCTCAAGACAATAGAGGCAGCTCTGGGGGCATCGTTAACCAACGCTAACTTGCCAAAGTCGTCTCCCTCATGCAAGGTACAGACCACACCCTGGAGAGAGCAGAACAATCAGATGAAGGCAACCCCTTAAGAGGAACAAACACCACCCACTCCTCAACATGAGTCCCCCTCCCCCAATCCACTGTATAAATGGACCATACCCAGGGATGCTGAAGATAGGTTATATAATTCAATTATAATGTTTTATTTTTCTCTCATATGGTATGTGGCCCAACTTTAATGTATACTTTATAACACTATGTAGAGATGAGTCTCAGTTCAATGCAATTCTGAGTAAAATAAATCTAGATAATTGTGATTAGAGGCGCCATAATGACTCTTCTACCTGTAGTAACAATGTTGCTGCAAGTTTAATTGTAGTGCTGCTTTGTTAATACTTAATGCCATACTAACAAATGGGGCATAATAAAGTTTCAAAAAGAAAAAGAGATATATACCTTGCCATAAATGACTACATTCACTGATCCTTTCAGAATAATGTACCAGGAGGTACCTTCTTCCCCCTGGTTAAACACTGGATACAAAAAGATGAAAAGACTTATGACAAGAATAGAAGCACATCAATATAAATTATAGCTTATCAAGTCATCAATTTTAAGTCCCTAGAACGACACATTTATTCTAGAAGAAAAAAAATTACTGGAAAATACTAACTTATTCAGGTGGAATATTATTTCCTTTTCTACAGAACATGAAAGAAACAGAAATACAACATTACTTGCTATGCCCTAAAATATACACTTTTACTAGATATAAATTCACAGTAATCTATTTCTGAGAGCAAATACTTCTCCACAATTCATCAAAACTTATTATGCTTTAGAAAATAGTTTCAAAAATATTCTGACTCATAAAGTGAAGTTTGAAAACATGCTAATAAGCATTACCTGTTGTTCATGGACACAGAGCTACCAACTTTTTAAAAAAATGGGTTGGTATAATAACTCCTATGTTAGTAGGACAGGAGTTAACTGTTCTTTGGAAGAGCAGAGAAAAGAAAGCATGGAGAAAACAAGGGCCTTCAACTGTATGTACAAATTTTAGTCGTAAGAAAAAAGGAATAAAATAGGAGTTTGTGTTTGATAACAATTTTAAAAGTATATGTAATAATTTCTAGTTTTATTTGAAATATTTAACTATGTCTTAGTAATATGAAAACAATCAGCAAGTATGAAAAAGATTTAAAAAATGTAAGGAATCAGTGACTACGAAGATAAAATTAAAATGAGCCTTTAAAATGTAAAGAAAGGACATTCTGCCCAAAATAAATATTGGTGTTATTAACACCACTTTTGATTACTGAAAGTAAAACACTCCAAAATATAATTTAAAAAACTTTTTCTTTTATAATTCATATTCCATTATTTATTGATTAACATGACTTAACCTGAAGAGCAAGATTTTCCAAAGAAAGTCTCTTGAAAAGTTAAAAAGTGTCCATGAAAATAGTATCCTACATTTCACTAAATTTAGGAAGTGTCAATTCAATGGACTGATTTTTTTCCTTCTTGCAGAACTTCTGAGAACCTTAGCATGTTGTGATTCTCCAAGACAGAGGATACAGAAGGTGGCACTTTCTAACCTGATTAGACTACTAACTCTGTTTTTTCAAGAAGAAATTTGTAGGACTAGCAGAAAATAACACCTAAATAATTTTGTCCACATACACTGATATCAAATTTCAAATTCTTCCAAATATAAATGTCGATCTAAACTATCACTTGGATTCTGGAGAGACCTATATTATTAGTACTGCATAAATATTTGGGACCAAGAAATTCCTTCAGGCTTGGAGTTGACAGTGAAAGTGAGAAGAAAATGAAAGTAAAATAGGTTATCGTTTTAAGCAGCAGTTCTCAAGAGATGCATAAGTTTTAACTCCTCAAACTGCAGAGAAGTTCACAGTGAAAAGGTTCACAGTGAAGGTCATGCCTAAGGAGCACAGAATTCATCCCCCCTCTTTAAATACCACCTTGAGCCAGACTGCAGAAATGGGGGACTCTCTAGCTGGCAAACACCAATGAGCTGGTTCCAGCAGTCAGCACGCTACAGAATACCAGTTGTGTGCTGGAATAACCACAGGTCCAGAAGAACGGAAGTGTCTCATGACTTCCTGCCAAGTCAGACCCTGGGCCAAGAAAGGGGGACATCTGCAGCCAGGCTCTGCAGCACATGCTCTGGCGGGGGCCTAGCAAGGTCCACTGCTCCACTCCCACATTCACTCACACACAGTTCCTCCTTTGGCATGAGACTCAAAAATGAGCACTCCCGCTAACTCCCGTTTCACCTAGAAGAAAGAAAGAAAGAAAGAATGTGTAAAGGCAGCTTTGGGTGGAAGAGGGGACTCGCTCTCCTGAATAGTGCTTTCTGTGCGCCTGTGCATGGCGGCTCCTTTCTGGCAGAACTACTTCCACTTGATTTGTGGCCAGATTCCTAAAGCTCTTACAAAAGTTATTTTATAAACTAATTCATACAAGGCAACCTCCCTAGAGACTATAAGACAGCTTCACATGTATGAACTAGCTAATTTCTCTGCTTACCTATTTTTAAAATTTCCGAGGTTATCCTTTTAAGTAGTTAATATATGTCCAGCCAAACCAAGCTACTTTAGTTCTTTTCATAATATTTGCGGTCAGTAAAATAAACACCATGATGATATGCTTTCCCTTTTCCATGTCTCTAACTTACTCCAAATTTTGAACTAAGATGTACAGCCATGAAACCCTTCCTAGGCCTGAGGCAATTACGTTTCAGCCTCATGCTCCACCTGTCTTTGTTTGCACACATCTGCAGCACCACATGGCTGACACGTTCCTCTCTGTGTCCTTCGTCATGTGTCACTACAAACATTTTTGAAAATTCCAAGTCCGGCATTAGAGTAATTAAGCTTAAAAGTGTGGGGATGTTTATATTCCTAGGTAGCTTGCTTTTTTTTTTTTTTTTTAAATTCCTAATTATGGTTCTGTCTCACTAAGAGCTACGGAAACTGAGAATTTCCCACAGGACCTGAGCCCTTAGGGTTTGAGGAAGAGGACTAAAGGAGTCTTCCCTCACCTTGCTCTACAGCATAAGTTTGTGATGCCTACATAGGCAGCGGCTCTGAGGCTGAGACCCACCCTACCCAGACAGAGTGAGGCTGACAAGGCAGGGGCAGGCAGGAGGTGGACTGGGCTACACCCCTGCACAGTTCACATTAGGGAGACAGCTTCCCAGCAATGTGGGGGGGAAGGTGAGTTCTATCTGGGTTGATGGGGGAAAGGTCTGTAGCACTTATACTTGCAACTATGACAAATGCCTGCCTGCACTCAGCAGATACCTGAATACCCACCCCTGAGTGGGACCCAGGACCCCATGCTCCCAGAGCACTGACCAAGTGACAACAGGACATGACCCAGAGAACTGGGAATGAAAGACCAAGGAGCATGCATATCCCTCTGAGGGGCCTTGGTGTAGATTTATGATTTGTGAACATCTCATTATATGCTGAAATAGCAGTATAAACTGGGTTGGTGGAAAGGTCATGGTGCATTTTTGCTTGAAAAAATACAGAAAAAAATTCATCACTTTTCCAACAACACAATAGGAGACTTGTGTTGGCTGGAAACCCTGTTCCTATGTTTCTCCTACGGGGAAGGAAGTGTTTCTATTGCTACTTAGAGACCAAATTTCCATCCACTGCCTTCCTAAATATCCTAATCAGATCAAAGTTTAAGGTTGGAGTCTTTCTTTGGGCCATTTTTTACTACTGTGCCTCAACATGTCTGAACTAATGTTCTTTTGAACTTCTGCTTCCTTTAATGGGGCAGCAAACTTGGGCGGAGTTGGCATAGAGGCCAGGGCAGGTCATTTTGATGTTTCTCCTCCCTTTCTCCATATTTCATGGAGGCATCTGAGCCTCTCTTAAGACCTTGCTGTCTTACCTAAGTATGCAGGTTCCAAGGTTCATCTCAGTCCTGCTCTCATCATACTTTTTGGAGGATGAGGATACGTGGGAAGTACTAATACGGTTACACTTGATCCCCTTTGGGTGATCATTCTGAGCATAACTTCCTTAGCATCTTGTGAGAGAGAGTGATTTATGAGGTAGAATTCAGGCATTCATTCACTCTCTTCTACATACTATAGTACTTTCTGTTCTAACTCAAAGTTCCCCCAAACACTGCTCAATTAAGAGACAACTTACTGTGGTAGAAAGATGGGATAAGGCTTTAATGTGAAGGAGTTCTTCATAGATAATCTCTAGGTCATCCACAGTCCTCTGGCCAGGTCTGCAAGACAAAATGAATAAGGAAATAAAAAAAAAAGAAGTAAAAAACTTGAAGTATAGAAATGGAGTCAAAGGTCAATCACACATTCAGGGATTTTGTAGGAGAAATGCCTACAAAAAGATATTGGCTGGAATCCCACTCCTAGGTATCTACCCAAAAGACACAAAAACACTGATTCAAAAAGACACCTGCATCCCCATGTTTATTGCTGCTTTATTTACAATTGGGAAAACATGGAAGATGCCCAAATGCCCAAAAGTAGATGACTGGATTAAAAAGATGTGGTACATATATACAATGGAATATTACTCAGCAACCAAAAAAAAAAAAAAGAAACACATGTCTTTCGCAGCAACTTGGATGGAGCTGGAAAAGATCATGCTTAGTGAGATAAGCCAGAAAGAAAAAGAAAAATACCTGATGGTTTCGTTCATAGCAGGAGTATAACAGACCAGAAGAGAAAATAATAAGAATAATGAACAGTCATATACCAGAGACATTTTGTGGGGGTGGGTAGGGAAGTGCACAGGACTATAGTGATGGCACATGGGTGCTTTGGTGATGGAAAACCTACGGGGATTACAATTGAGATGTAAAAAATGATGTAAAAATAAACTATTATAATCTTAAAAAAAGAAGAAATGAGGACTTAAAAAAAAAAAGATATTGGCTGGGGGTCAAACCATGCCACTACAATCCGTAAAGGGTTTTTTTTTTTGAACAAATATCTTCCTTGGTGAAAGAAAATTGGGACAAATCAGATGGCACATGGCTGGCTTCCTTGATGCTCACAGAGGGAGAGTCTCCACACACTGCAGGTACCGGCTCATTGCTCACTTCATAGAAGACTGCTTCAGTATCACCTTCACCAATAAGAACAACAATGTTTTTTCACAACACTAGGCACAATCGATTTCATCAACTGGATGAATGATCCAAATTCCTTGGGATCCTGTGTGACATCTTACCTCAGCAACAGTGAAGCTGTCACTTGTTTTTGAGGCTATTGACATGCTTCTGCCAGAGGACTCAAATAAAGGGCATACAAAGACTCAAAGTTTTCTCACTGACCCCTGAGGAGGTGAAGGCATGAGATGAGCAGAAAACTAATAGTAGTGTCTGGGATTCATAAGTAAGGGGGTTGGGGATTTATATCCACATCCCCCAAACTCTACTCCATGGAGGACCAGTGTTCTTCCCGGGTGATGCTAAACAACATACTATGTGCAAAGTCCTTTTCTGTGATTTATTATAAAACTAGTGTCCAACAACCTGCCTTTAGGAATGGAGTCTAGGGCTGCCAGAAGCAATAAAGATTGAGTAGATTCCTAATTACCTTCCAGGTCTATAATTATTCTAAAATCACTAATAATGTACTTATATGTCAATAATAATAGATATGATTGGCCAGTAATTTGTATTTTTTTATTGCTCTTCACAATAAAGGTACCCTGACTAATATGTTTTTGAAACTTAGAAACAAACCTATTATTAATTCTGAGTGCAGGATGTCAATCCCCATATTCGCCGGCAGGCAGTATTTACTTTGAGCTAACTGTTGTAGTCACAGGTGCTACCTTTCCCATAATCAATGATTTTATGCATTTTGTCCAAAAATTTTCACAATTTATGCCTTAGTCAAAGCATTGTATATGAACACTATATATAAAATGTTTCAACCTTCATGAGCTACTGATGAAGTTCTATCACTACATTGTATTTTATAAAGAGGACTTTGGTCAAATTAACTGAGGGACCGTGGGTATACCGACCACTGGATTTAAAGTGGGAAAACTTTAAACAGAGCACTGAATTTCAAGTCTGAAGATCAAGAATTTACCTCAGAGCAAGCACGTGATATCAAAGGCTCAGGCTCATGGTTAACAGGGAACAATACCTTCCTGAGAGACATGTCAGAACTGTAGGAAGCAACACATGTGAAGACCCCTGCATATTTATGTACGTGAATATACAGCAGATGATATTCAAGACTCAAGCCCTTGCATAAGAAGATAAACTTCAAAAAAGTATGACATATGGTCCAGCAAATCTTATCTGATATTTAATGAATGATTAGATAAGCGTGCTGAGTCTCCAATGTAGAATTACACATATTCTAAGGTAGTTAATTAGATTCAATTATTTTTGCAACCATTATAATATGGGAGAGATAACAGGTGAATTAGGGGCTAATTGGAGGAAGAAAACTCTCCTTACCTTGTCTACCACCTTCTCAAGGACAGCTTTAACATGGATAGAGAATACAATATCCTTCTCTTCACAGGACAGAAGATACATTTCCTTAATCCTTACTGTACCAAGATGGCCACTAAATCCACGATCCAGGAAGAGGCCAGCCGGGCTCTCCTCCTTCAGGGTCACCCCTGAAGGATATAACTGTGTACTGATCTAATGTTTAACAGTGAAACTCACTAAGTAAGGCCCCAGAAAGACACTGAGAAAAGGCAATGGCCACAGGGGCTCTGAAGGAGCCAGGACTTCTTAGCAAGGGGCCTAATCTACTACTTGACTTAGACATGGGGATTTTGAAACGAGGACCCTTGGGGATTTAAAAGTCGATTGAGTCACTTTAGTCCCTCTACTACTATAGAGGCAGCTCCTGCAGCAGGCTCAAGGTAGGCTTAATAGGATTATAGCTCTTCAGCACAGGCACAGCCCTGCTGTTTCTGATAGTTGATATCAGCGGCAAATAGGCCAGGGCCTTCTTGGAAGATTGGCTAAGGGAGGAAACAGTCACCAGGTCTGCTGACCTCCACGGGGTGGTGGAAGGAGGAGGAAAACTCAGCTGGGAGAAATAAGGGTTACAATTTGGCTTTAAAATTTTGACAGATTTAAAGTTGGAATTTTGGGAACAGATCTCTGAGTTTAGGAGTGTTTATCTAATCTCAACATGAAATCCATGCTGATATAATCTTACAGACTGAAAAAACCAAGCTATTGTCTTTAGAATTTGCAAATTCAATTCTGTTGAAAGTTTCTGTTACATCTAAGACTTAACATATATGATTAAGAACTTGGTGAGATCCCCAATGCAGCATGTAAAATATCAGACATTGTGGTTCAAAGGCTGCCTTTTGAGCTACTAACCTTGGAGCAGTAACAAAGTATGGGAACCAAGAGTAAAGATGGCAACATTCAAGCCATTTTGAAACTATTCAGTTACCTGCTGCCCTGCACCCCTAAGTACTGCGGTGGGGGTGAGGTGGGGGTGGGGTCTGAGTGGGGAGGGGGTGAAGGAGCTTCTACCCTGATTCTCATAGCTAGCCTCTTGTTTTCCTAGATACTATTTCTTCTATTTTTTTTTTAAGATTCATTTATTTATGCATAGAGAACTAGGGTACAGGCCAGAGGTGAGGGGTGGTGAGAGGATTCAACAGAGAGTAGGGATCAGTAAAGGCCAACTGACAAAGTACACTGCTGAGGGGAGCAGTGGGTGGGTCTGGAGAGGTCTGCTGTGCCATGTGGGTCACCTCCCTGTCCAGGAATGGAACTCACACTGAAGTGGCTGCTGCTTGCTTGCAGTGCTGCGCTTTGACTCACTACGCTATCAGGGAGGGCCCAACATTACTTCTTGATGGCTTTTTCGGTCTATTTTTATTATGATGTTCACTTCAAGGTTCTGCTTTCCATTTTGTTTTCTCTTTCTGGGGAAAATCTCCCACATTCACCTATATAATGCTGAGATCTAAATCTTTATGTCCAAATACATCTCTCTGTGAGCTCCAACAGTTTCCTAGCCATATCTTCCTAGATGATGCACAAACACCACAAACTCAGTCTGTCCAAAAGTGCCTCTTCATCACACCAGGATCTTTCAGGATCTCAGTTAACTTTGCCAGATTCTTCTGTCTCTCCTCTGTTCATACCTCTTGTCATAGCCATGTTCCCTGCTCCAGTCCTATAGACATTTTCATTTCCTCAAAAATCGTGTTTTTTCATGTCTCCAAGATTTTCCACATTCTTCTCTCTTTCCCTACAATATTTTTTCTCCCAGCTCAAATGTCAACTCTCCTATTTATCCTCCAATCTTTATTCTTCTATCACTCACAATCTTACTGCTGTGGTAATTACAACAAACTAGGAAGAATGCTACTTGCTTAAATATCCATCACTCTAGTTCATTCTTCTCAAGAGAACTAGCACCTGGAAGTACAAAGGGCACTGGATAAAAACAAAAACTAGATTTTGACAGCAAAATCATGGACCTTCTAGGTGCCCAAGTAAGGAACTAAGAAAGAGGTGTGTTGTAAAGATACAATGAATTTAAAGGAATCAAAGAAACCAGGAAGCAAAGGGGTATTGGAGCTTGGCACGGATGTAGGAAGGCCTTATCAAGGTGGGTGCCAATATATGGCTCACTAGATGAGTGAGCATGAATTCTCGCAATCCATGCTGCCCTCAGTGTCTGCCCAAGGGAAGTGGCAGCCTGGCACCAACCATTCTTGTTGTTAACCGAGGGCACTAGGGGCTTGTGCTCAGTCACCCTCCCTACTGAAGGCTAGGTAGGAAGGGGCTCCGAGACAGGACTCACTTCCAACACAGCACACACTCGTGTCAAGGCAAATAGTTAATTATTAGTGGAAGGAGGAGACAGGATGGACATGTTAGACCCTCAGGAGGGAATTGCCATGTTAAACCAGCTTAAGCTACTCAGTCTAAGTCAAGATGTGGGAGGTGACCCCTGAAGACCAAGCAGTCCATTGGGCTGGATCCTTGTCCATCAGGTTATCATCTGCCATGTGAACACCAGAGAAGGACAGTTACTTAAATAGCAAAACAGCACTGGAAACAAGAAGTGCTGCCACCACAAACCACACAAGTCCTAGCAGCTGGGCGGGTGTTTTAGGGAGACTTCGATGATAGAGAGCAGAGAGGAATCAATGATCTGAATATGACTGGAGGCCACCACAACTCAGCGTTTGTAGAAGAAAACCCTCCCAGGAGGAAGACAGCGCCACAGACAAGAAGGAGGCCATAGC